TTCCGCGCGGAGCGGCGGCGGCCGGCCGGCCGGTTCGGCCGGTTCGGCTGCCCGTCCATTCCGGGCCCGAATTTCGTCCCGAAAAGTCCAAATCGACGTTTTTAAGTCCCCAGGGACCGTTTTTCGACGTCCCGACTCAATTTGACATTTCGGAGAGGTTCGGGATTCTACAAGCCAGATCAATCCTGGGTCACTCGGAAAAATTCTCCGAAATTGTGACACATATTTTCGGACTCCTGGAGCTTCGACGTCGAAATAGGGGGCAACTGATACATCCTCAAAAAATTATCTTGATCGGGCACTAATCTCGATGCAAAAATCAAATTGGAAACTTCCGAAAATAATTTCAGGAGCATATGAACTCCGATTTCAGCAATTTATAGTCAAACCGAGCGTCTTGGAAATACGAACCACAACGACACAATGATCAATCCAATCTGAGCCCAAATGAGTCCGAATCATGGTTCAAAGCGCTGTTGGGAGGTTCAAACCGCAATTTGAGTTACCAAACGGTCTCCGATTTTGAGCAGCTATACTCGAATCGAAACGGCTCGACGAGACGAATCCAACGAGCCCAAGATCATCAAATCCGAAATCATTAAGGCCTCAAATGTCCAACGAACGGCTGCATGATCGAAGGATTCGATATCGGCCGTCCATTCGGAATCACTCCCAATTCGCCCTTGATCTCACGCCTATTTACGGGCTGTCACTCCAGAAAAAACATAAATAGAAGCCCTCAATTCTACACCAGGGGGGGAAGTGAAGAGAGAGAAGAAGAAGAGAAGAGAAGGAGGAAAGGGGAAAAGGAGATTCCTCACCTCCTCGGACCACCGCCGGAAGCTCTTCCTGCTGCCTGAAGACGCCGGAACTCTGCCGGATTTTCAGGAAACGCAGGAATTCTGCACAACTCCACGTGATGCGAAATCCTCCCAATTACAAGAGAGTTCCCTCCTCACGGCCGAAACTCCGCCCAAGTGAAGCCGGAGTTCTCCTCTGCCACCAAAGACGTTGACTTCTACCCAACGTCGGACCTTCACACTTCGCCAAGTCTCCACCCGACGCGGACTTCTACCGGCTTATCGGACTTGCTGGACGTCTATGCGAAGATGCATTTCTTTCCATTGCTGGACTCTCTACCTGATGTTGTCCTACTGATCTTCGTGTTGAGCTACAGTCCTTCCGACCTCCGTCGCCAGCCGACTACGGTCCTCCTGATCATGTCGCCCCGACTACAGTCTTTTCGACATCGTCGCACCGTTGATAGGTCTCTGACTTATGGCCGCCGACTACAGTCCTTCCGACCTCCGTCGCCCCGATTACGGTCCTCCTGACTTACGTTGCCGCCGACTACAGTCTTCGCCGCCAGTGACTATGGTCCTCCTGACCTACGTTAGCACGCCGACTACAGTCCTTCTAACAAAGCGAATCGTCAATAATAGCTCTTTGTATTTACATCATGTAATGTACTCCATAAGATGTACATCAAGCTAGGCCTTCTCTCAAGGAAGGCCTCATTTGTAATCGACTGCAAAATACTAGTGGATTCGTTCAAACTGGCTAGGCCCCGTGTTTTCCCCTTTTAGCAGGGTTTTCCACGTAAAAATCTTGGTGTCTCATAAATGCTAGACCCTCTTCCTTATCATGCTGCGTGCCAGATCTTCGTAACAATGCTAAGACGTAAAATATAATATTTCTACCGCCGCGAATACTCCTGGACGCAACAAATATAAATTTTAAACATTTTTTAATAATTTTGTACCTAAAATTCTTGACATAAGATTATCTTAAATTATTTTATACTATAATTTTAACGAGTCAACTCAGCGAGTAATAAGTCGAGTCAGTGTTGCTCAAGATTGGCTCATTAGGCTCATTGAACTCTGCTCACAAGCCATTTATTGGGTCGACTCAGAGCTGATCCACAAGCCGACTTAACTCAGTTACACCGAGAATAGTCAATAAGGCAATAAGGAGTGGTAGGGCATCTTATTGGTTTATCCTTCTTACACGCTTTTTAGGGGATTGTGCATCCTATTCTTCAGCTGGATATTTGATAGAGCATCTTTTATTTTATTTTATTTTGATTTAAAATAAAATGTATTTGTTAAATAAAAAATATCTTTGTTATTTTTATTTTTATGTAGGTGGTGGTGGTCATTTGTGTAGGCAACCAGTGGGTGGTGTCGGTGGCTAGGACGTTGTTGTGGCTGCCTCTGGATCATAATAATTGTCAATAATAATTATTTATAAAAACACTTTAAAAATACAACAACATTAATAACAACAGCAACACGCGAACACTTATGTTGTAAGGTCATAAGCGTTAGAGGAGAAAAATGGAGGGTGTTTAGATAATTTGATAGTCAGTTAAAATTTATTGAATAATCATGATATGAATCATATAAAAACATCTAATAATTTAAAATAATTTTAATATTTAAAAAAAGAAGATTTATTTTAAAAATAAAATAAAAATCTATAAAAAAAAACACATCAAATAAATATGTTTTTGATATGTCATTAAAAATCACTATGATTATGCACTAATTTCGAGTTATATTTGAATTGGAAACTTTCAAAAATTAAAACTTGGATCATC